AGCAGGAATCCCCTCCTGGATCCGGCCGCCCCCAGCATCAAGGGGGCCTGACACAAGACCCGAGGGAAGCAAGGGAAGGGGGAGAGCAGCCCCCCTCCGCGGCAGGTCTGTGACGGGGACAGGGAGCCTGGCGGTGTATTTCTTCCGCTCCAGCCATTTGCGAGCTGCGCTGCAAGGGGCTTTTGCCGTCAGCGCCGGGTGTACCAGGACACGAGAACAAAGAGAGGCACCCGCACCCCCATCCCTTTGTCTGAGCGCGGAGGAGCTTCACCTGCGAGGAAAACCAGCTCCCACCGAGGAGCCGGCAGCTTTGTGCGGAGTCGGATGGGGAGAGGGAGGTGGCCCCCGCTTCCCACGCTGGGAAGGGGATAACGAACGCAAGGATGCCATCGCGTTACCCTCTCTCCCTTTGCCATACACACCAGCCCATCACAGCGCACGCCACCCCCCTCCCCGGCCTTCCAGCAGCAACCGCAACCAGGAATAAAAACCATTGCTGCAGAAATATCAACTGAACCCCAACGCGATCGATATTTGTCTGCGTGCGGCTGAGCACCAAACCCTGGAGCTCAGCTCCACTGACAGCAAAGCACCAGGACTGACTGCGAGGGAAGGGGGCGGGAGACTGGTTTCCAGGGGACAAGGTTTTAAAGCCGCACAATAACTGGCTCGAAGGAGGGTTTGGATTAAGCTGTTGTACAGCGAGGGAAACTGCCGACTCCATTAGGATACAGGGGATTTTCCTTCCCTTTTTTTCTAATTCTCCAGCTCTGGAATGGAGCTTCCAGGTCACCGAGACAGGAAAGGAGAATCAGGTGATGCCAAGCAAACAGGGGATCATGCACACAGAGAGGTGGGTGGAGGGAGGAAAAGGACTGATCAGCCTTCCCTGAACCTCCAGCTCGTACAGTCGGCTGGTCTGACAACATTTACTCATATTTCAGAGAGACACAGCCATCCGGAACGTCACTCCCTGCCAACTGCCTCATCTGGAGCCATCCGCAGCTCGGTTGTTTCCAACTCGCTCCAGAGATGAGCCCCCAAAACATCCACAAAACAAGGAACTGAGAAAGAAAAGGTGTGTGGGGTGGGGGGAACAACAGTGAAAGAGATGGAAATGAGATGGGGAAGCAGCAGAGAAATGAAATTAATTCATGCTTAACTTTTTTTTTTTGGCAGTTCTGGAGTTCTGGTCCAGCAGACCACCAAACAGATCATTTTGAATGTGTGCCGTGAAGGAGCCACTGTTGCAGCGGCAAAGCCCTGCTCTGAGCTGGGAACTTTGCTCACATTACTGTCACAAGTGAATCACAAGACAGAAAAGGGACAAGCATGACCCTCTAGTAAGAACAGGCCAAAGCTGTCCTTATCAGAAAGGATGCAGGACTGCAAACCTCTTCCCTGAGCTCATTTGGGAGACGTATATAAACGCGCTTGCGTGCATCTCGGGTCTCACACTTGTAAATAACCATCGATCCCTCCATATTTGGGACCAGGCATCTCTTCCTCCAGTTCCCAACTGTGCTGGCTTTCACCCTGCTGAGTGAAGGAGAGCTGCCTGTACCAGTTCGGGGTTTAGGATATACCAAACACTCCCTCCACAGAGGACTAAGGGCAGGGCATCTCCCACCCCAGTCCTGGGCATCCACGCCTCTGTGCTAGTCCCCACAGCATCCGCCTCATCTTCTCTACCAGTGAACAGGCTCAATGCAGCAAACCAGGGACCTCAGCAAGCCGGCTCAGCAGCTCCGAGTCCTCCGAGACACCCCCCTGCTCCAACCAAACCAGCATCTCCTGAGCCTACGGGCTGCTGATAAATGCAGAAAGTTGACAAAGTCACCAGAGACCAGTCGAGATCTATAGGGTTTTTTTTTTTCCCCCCCCCCTTCTGAAAAGAGAAAAGCAAGGCCAGACCAGATTCGGCCCCGGAGCCTGCGTGGCAAAGCAGAATCTGGCTCCAAGTGTTTATTTATAAATTTGTACATACATGTACATTTGAATTCTGACAGAATTAATTCTGGCATCCAGCTAATTCAAAGCATTCCTCCCCCATCACACTACTGTTGCAGGCCAGCCCAGCACAGAAGCTGATTATAAAATGCTGCACTAGCCAGGCATTTCTGCAAAGGCTTGTGCTATTGAGCATTCAGCCTTTCCTTGCTTGGCTATTTCATTGTTTCGGTGTCGATCCCTCCTCTCTTGCCCTGTGTTTCCTGGTTACTTTTGTCCCCGCTCTGGAAGCACTACTGCTCTCAGCCTCATTTCAGCATCAGATTAAAAAAAAAAAAAAAATCACATAAAATTAAAGAGAAGAAAAATTACCACCACGTACCAAGACTTCCAAGGGATGTTTAAAAATAAACAGATAGGTAACATGCAAAAAATAGGCCAATACAGGCCCGGATCTAGGGACAGAAAACCTGCTGCCTCCCTCAGAAGCGCAACTAAGAAATCCCTGTGTGGTCACACGCTGTCCTCGCGAACAGAGAGGAGAGAGGTCAGGGCAGCCAGCAATGTAAGAGCCTCTTTATTCTTGGGCAGTTGCACGAATCTGATCGCTTGTGCCCTTTGTGAGACATGGAAATCTGCCTTCGCCTCCCCCCCCCCCCGACAGCCCCTGTTCTTCTCTCCCCTGCTCAGAAAGGGGCCGAGGCTCGTCTGCGGTAACTCCTCGCAGCATAGCTCCGGAGGTGAAGAACAGAGCAGCGGAGAGGATGCGGCCCCCCTTTCGGCAAGACCTGGCTTGGGCCAAGCGCACGGGAGAGCTTGAGGACGGAGCTTTGCTGGAGCGACGGAGGGGAGGAGAAGGGAAGAACGTACCCAGGACTCACGCGCTCCTTGATGGACTCACCCGGGCTCCCACGTGCAAAGCAAAACACTGAGGGGTAGAGGAAAGCCAGGGGGTGTCCCTCTGCGAGTCTAGTCTTTCCTACTTTTCCCTCTCCTCCATGATCACAGGCTTCAGGAGAGCTGCACACACCACACCCGCATGCCAGCATCTACATGACACTCACATAAATATCATGGGTTAGATTTAGACTAAACAAGAGCCTGGGCAAAGTTTATTACACTCTCAACACCAGCCAAAGCTGAGTTTATACCTGCTGGTTCAGAGACCAGACCAGCACACCCCAGTGTTCAAGGTGAATTTGAAGCCACCACTACAGGGAGGGGTTAAGGGCAGAAAGCTCTCTGGCCAAGGGCTGTCTGGTATGGGTGTGTAAGGCTGGGCCTAGACATCCTCACCTGCCAAATACAGCTGACCCCTATATACTGCGGTGGTGCTGCTGGGCTTTACCTTGTTGCCACTCCTTGCAAACAGCTCAATGTCCTTGGGTAAACCTCTCTCTTTCTCCTCCTTCCATCTCGCTTTTCTCCAGCGCCCTTCCACGCAGCATCCCCCACCGTGGGAAGAGAGCATTCCCCGCTGCAGCCCCTGCCCTCCCTGGCTGTTGCCTCCTACCTCTGGCTCTTCTCTTCCATCCAAGCCTCTTCCCCACCAAAGGCATTAAGTCGCCTCCCCCTGCCCCCCATCTCTGTTGTCATTTTTCAGATGACTCTACAGAGAGTAATTGTGGCTGCAGGTCTAGAACAAGCAACCCCTGGCAACCTGACGAGTTAAGGGCAAGGAAAATGCCCAGGCTTAGCAGAAAAGCAGCAGGGAAAAGCCCTTAATCCAAACCCTGGGGAGGCAGGAGACTGTTCCAGTTCAGCCAAAGATCAGGGACCACTAAGACACCCATGGCTGTTTTTCTAGCAAACCCAGATGGGTTTGTACCACTGTGGCTTGGCCCCCCGAGATCTCTCAAGGGCAGCACAGGTTGCTATCGGTTGAACGTAAATTCCCTGCTGTCCCTGACAACAAAGCACAGCAAAGCTTGACAGATCGATGGCGGCGAGCGGCGTGGAGCTAGAAAGCAAGGCTAGGTGGGTGCTGGGATTTCTGCGACTGCCCAAGGCCTGAGAAGTCATTATTCATCAAGGCAGTTTGACCAACTGACAGCGTCCCAGGGCACAATAATCAGTCACATTTAGCAGCCTGGCGCTGGAGTCGTGAGGCCCCCGGGCAGGAACAAGGGGCATCAGCAAAGCCGCGGGAGGAAGAGACCCGGTCTAAACGGACGGGGGAGGAGAAAAGGGCTGGAGGTTCACTTCCAGGGGTGCTAGCAGATGGAGGGAGCAGGGGGAATCTGAATGCACCGGCCCAGCTTCGTAAGACCTACTGCCAAAATTAGTGGGGGGGACCAGGTACACTCAAAGAGCACTGCGGGGAGCGCCTGCCAGGCACCAGCCCACACTACCTACAGTCACGAGAGCTAAATTACACCAGAAAACTTCGGCATACGCGCTCACAATGCCTCCAACGAACTGCATGCCGCACTTCTCATAAACAAGTCATCTGGAAAATAAGTAAGCCCGTAAAAATCCAGCCCATCACAAGTTACCAAACCTGTTTCAGAGTAAAACAACCTACAGCAGCTCAAGCCAGGAGCCTGGCGGTGGAAGAGACCCCGGTCTCCCCGGCACTGAGGTCCCCTAGCTCTCCGCTTAACATCTTTAGCATAGATGGCAGGAGAAAGATGTGACATTGGACTCTCTTCAAACAGGAAGGTGTCTACGGGGTCAGAGTCATCCATCGAAGGAAAACTGGTGGCATTTTCCCTCTAGAGACTTAGACTTTCTGAACTGAACAGCAACCAGCTGGGCAGCTAGGAAAGCCAGTGGCCATCTCTGTACTGGGGCTGGTAGCCAACGCTGGCAAAGCGCCAGAGTTTCAGGGACAGACTTGGGATTCATCTCTCTGTGCTTCTGCCAAGTGCTTGCCTCTTCTTTCTCCTATACTTTAGAAAGCACCTGAGCTGAGCAAATATGGGGGACTGCAAAGAAAGCCCAAACCCACTGCGGGCCAGGTGCACCTGGAAACCCAACCCCTGTCCCTGGGATTTGCCGAATAGGTGCTGCTCCACGGATGGAGCCGCGCTCTGCTCCCGCACACCTGCAGGAGGCCCCCCCCGAACGTTTTCCCACAGGACTCATCCCCACAGCATGCTTTGCACGCTTCTCCCTCTTCTTAACATTCGGAAATACTGGAGATGCTCAGAACGCAGCAAAAATTTCTCTCGACTTCACACAAAGGTGCAGGAAGCAAGGTGAAAGCTATCTCTGTCCCTTGGAACAAAAGTGAAGTGGAAGCAGATCCTCTAACACCCTCTCCACTAGCGGCACCCACAGCTCAGCGCAGGGCAGCTGGGACAACCTCAAGCAAGCTTTGTACCTGGCTTTAAAAGCAACCATGCCCGATACAAAGATGGGGCTAACATGGTGGTAACATCCAGCAAACGTTTGGGTGAGCCCCTTTTGCATGTCTTTGCCTGCTGCTTTCTGACCTGCCCTCTAATCCCAGCACCGTTTGCTTCCCCCCCGCTCTTTGGGTGAAGGGAAAAAAAAAAATTAAACAACCAACCCTAAAGTTGGAAAAATTTCTTTTTTTTCGTGAAGTGGAAGCAGATCCTCTAACACCCTCTCCACTAGCGGCACCCACAGCTCAGCGCAGGGCAGCTGGGACAACCTCAAGCAAGCTTTGTACCTGGCTTTAAAAGCAACCATGCCCGATACAAAGATGGGGCTAACATGGTGGTAACATCCAGCAAACGTTTGGGTGAGCCCCTTTTGCATGTCTTTGCCTGCTGCTTTCTGACCTGCCCTCTAATCCCAGCACCGTTTGCTTCCCCCCCGCTCTTTGGGTGAAGGGAAAAAAAAAAAATTAACATACCAACCTCAAGTTGGAATAACTTTCTTTTTTTCAACCTTGGAAGCAGATTCCTCCATGCCTGGGAATACCCGGCAGGAGGCACATGTCTCTGGCAGGAAAGGCAAAGATGGAAGAAAATACGTTTCATTTTGAGACCTTGACACAAACAAAACCTCCAGAAGCAAAAAAAAGAGGGTGGGATGTTGGCTTTTTTTTTTTTTTTTTCTCCTCCACGCTCGCTCTCTCTCTCTCTCTCTCCTCTAAGCGCTACAAAAACAGGAAACAAAGGAGAAAATATCTCACAAGGGGGGAAGGGGAGGTAAGCGTTTTATACGCCCACGAAAGAAAGATTAACCACATACTTTATTTACTGTTTGTACTATGGTTGGACCTTTGAGTTCACCCAATCCTGAGTCAGGGCTGCGTGGGTTTGTGCAGCACCTAACACTGAAAGGTCTCTCTCCCCCGAAACAACCCAAGCACAAGCTTCCACTTTGGGCAACTGCTCCGTGGACAACCCCCTTCCTCCTACGCCAACCTGCTTCCAGCGTCCTTGGACCGGCAAGAGATCTCCTATCCAAAATGCAAGCTTACAGCTGAGAAAGCAACGTTTCTGTCCCCAAATTGTTTCGAGCCCCTTTTCCCTTTCCAGTCGGCCTGCAGGCAGCGGGCAAGATGCCCTCCGAGGCGGACTGGCAGTGGGGCTGGGGTAGCAAGCGCCTGAAAGGGGCCGTTTCTTTGGAGAGCGTTTGCAGACTCCCGCCCTGCCTCTGGGCTCCGGGGGTCACCTCCGTCCCGGGGGTTGATCTCGCAGGCCGTAACGCCCGCAAATCCCCCACGCCGCATACCGGGCGGAGGATCAGGCTCCTAGCCGCCAAACTTTGACTCATTTCTCAATTAAGAGCTTCCCAAACGCGAGCTCCAGAGACACGCACGGAACAAATCTCTCATGACCGCTTGCTCCCGGGGCCTCCTCCGGATCTCACAAGCTCAACGTTACTCATTCGCCCCCGTCACGCTCATCTCCCCGGCCCGGCGTTTCTCGCCAGCCCCGGCCTTCTGGCAATGCGGGGGTTTGCCGCATGCGGCGGTCCTTCCCCGGGACGCTCAATGAGCGCATTCACCCGCGTCGGATGAGCAAGCGGCCAGGAATCCCGGGCCCGACTCCTGCGCGCAGGGAGCCGCCGCCGGCTGAGCGCGCGCAGGACGGTACATGCACGCGGCCCTAATTCGGGAGCCGCAACGGCCGCCTTT